GCGAAGGTTTGGGCGGGGGGGTGGGGGGAGAATCGGGGGCCGCGGAGGAGACGGTGGCTTCTTTCCTACGCGGATTGTTGAAAATAAACTTGCCTTTGATAACGCCTTTGGTTAAGACACTTTCCCTCTTTTCTTTCTTTTCTTCCCCCCCCCCTTCACATTACGACACCTTTCGTCTTGCTACACAGAGACCTAAAGGGCAAGGAAATAAAGGTGAGTTTGGCTATTTGTTATCTTACTCATCACTGTTGGTTCGATGTTACTTTGTAAACGGTGTGAGGGTCTTTCTGTTTGTTGTTGCTCCTCCCCCCTCCTTCCCTTTTTTTTTTTTTGAAATGTAGGATTGGAGGGACATTCATCGTGGCTAAGGCAGCCCAGTGCTCCAAAACTTTGGTAGTTCCTTCCCTGGAGACCAGCTTTATAGAAAGCGAAGTGGTATCAGGACCAGTGTTCTGCTTAGTTGGGTATTTCAGTTCAGGAGATGGAGTTACGAATATATGTTTCAATCTGCCTGTATTGTGTCACTTCTTCCCATAGGTAGATAAGTGGAGATTTTGTTTGTCATGTCTAGGTTACTTTGGAACATGCAACCCCATAGCATTCCATGTCACATCAGTGCAAATGGTACTGTTAACCATTGATTCTATTGAAGGCAGTTATGTGGGAGATAAAGCTGAGCAGGCATGCTCTCTCTCTCTGTAGTCCTGTTTGCAAGGTGGGACTCAGTTGGGTACGTTAGAAAGGACTGACGGCGGAGGAAATGCTTGATGATGCGACTTGCTATTGAGTTTTTAAGAAGGGAAGTACTCCGGAAAGTAAAGCGTTTTTAAAAAGAAGTGTATTTTGTGTTTACTAATACGGAATAGCTCAGTCAGCTGACTGAACCGTGACATTGATCATGTGACGTGCGTGAGTATGGAACAATAACTGCTTTCTTGGGACAGTGCCAATTAAATAACATTACAGTGAATGGTATATTTATTGACAGTTTGTAATAGGACTGGAAATGAGACAACATGATTCTGCTTCTGTTTTTTATTCTAGGGAGCAAAGTATTACCTAGAAAATAAGATCTACAATAGTTTTTTTAGATACAATTTAATCTCTTTATGATGCTCTTTAGATTCAGGTTATTTGCGTGAGCAAATTTGAAAGGCATAGGTACTGTATACACAGCTTAGTTAATTTTCTTTGATTTGTACAATTTGTTTGAGAACTTATGCATTCCAGATATATGGCACTGTATTAAGTAACAAATTTATTGTTTTATTTTGATTAAGATAGATTTTCTTGGAGTATATACACATTTAGAAATTTTAAATTTTAGAATTTAATTTTTAGAGTACAATTTTTAATTTTAGAATTTTTTTATGTTGTGACTATAAACCTCAGGATTTGATATAGTTGATCTTTTTTAACTGAGTTTTAAAAAACTTATTTGTAAACTTAAAAAGAATGATTACTTGTTTTTGCTAGTCTTCCCATTAGGAGGTATGTAGACTTGGAGATAGGTGAAATTTGTTCCCATTATTGCCTAGTGTAAGTTATTTTATCCTAGATCTTTGGGGAGGTGGCACTTTGCAAGGCTATTTGAAATGTTGAGAGTATTGTGTTAATCTGCTGTAAAGTAAGTATGCAAGTTCTGTGAAGTACTTGTTTGACAAAACAAAATAGGACATCTACTGAATAAGCCATTACTATAAACTTGATTTATAATGTAGTCATTTCACTTAAGTATGTCCTAGTGACATTTTTTATATTATAGATATAAATTATATGTAAATAATATTGTATATTGACATAAATAAATAGTTTTTGTTATTAACATTGTTTTAATCTATTAGTATCACTTTTGTTAGGTGTGTTTAGATACATGTACAAAGTATTTATTTGGATAGTTCTTTAAGCCAAGAAATTTTCTTTCTCCTTTATTGTTCAGTTCATAATCTCATTCATGGATAGAAGGATTGACTGGGTTACCAAGGAGATCTGTGTTCTAATACTGCTTGTTGCCAAGTGAGCTTGAACACAGTGCATCTTTTAACCAGAATTTTCCCTCTATAAAAAATAATAATTCCAGTCATAAACCCTATCGTATGTTGTGAGGATTGTTGTAATTACAGTATTCCACTGCTCTAGCAGTTATATCTGCTGAGTTTCTTTTCACCTTCGTCACCTATTTGATCACCTCCTGTGATTTCTCCTCCAGTACACACCCGTACCTGGGATCCAGCCGGCAACCGGGGGCATATGCACAGGACAACAGTCAATCAGTTGAGCCACACTGGCCAGGGCCTCAACTCATCTTATTTTTAAAATGCAGAAAGACTATTGCCTAAAATATGGCAGGAGGGAAAAATGCTACTCTCCTAAAAGTATTGGCAGTCACTTAAGATGCCTTAAAATGGTAGATACTACAAGGGCAAAAATACACATATACATTACCTGTACTTTTATGCCTCTGCAGGGAGAATTACAAGGAGAAGGCACCCCCAAGTGAACTTATACAAGTAGTATATGTGTGAGAAAAACTACTCTGCCTTAGCTGATTGGATTTTCAAGCTAGTGAAATTGTTTTACAGTTATTCTGTTTATTTTAATGAAGCAGAAAGCAAAGTTATTTTTCCTGAACGTAGTGGCTCAGTATTCGAAGAATATGAGTATTAAACTTGAATTTAGAACTTATGAAAAATACATGTCCCTGAGGAGGTGTCAGAGGTTTGAAAGCAGGATCCTTTTCAGTTCATATGATTTCAGAGATGCTGTGTTTCTCCTCTGAACTATTGTGAGTTGACAGCGTTGGCTTTACACCTGGCCTTAGTGTCTTTGATTTTCTGCTAATTGTTTTCCTATATATCTTTAATGACATAAATGCACTAAAGGAACTAAAATTAAAATTTAAAGGGAATTTTATAGCAATGTCTATAAGGCAAAACATGCTTTTGTTGTATAAATTCTAGGTTTATTTGTTTATAAGTTTGAATCCTTTTAAACTCATCTATTGTGTACTCTATGTTAAATATTTGAATTGTTTTTATTATTGGCCATGGTGAAGCGTAGTAGAAATTTAAAGATGATTATTTACCTATTGGTCCATAATTTAAAACTTAGTTTATATCGCTTTTATTTATTAACAAGAAGGATTTTTGCTTGCTGGAATCAAAGTGTATTACTCCTTTTCTTGCAGGCATCACAGAGAAAGTGTCAAATCCCATGCTCCTAGTAGCCCTCAGGCCTTACTGCTTGCTTCTTCCTATTCCTTAAGTTCATAAATAGGTAGATACATAGAAAGTAATTTATCTTTTCACTTCTCTCTCTTCCCCTCCCAACATTGTTTGGTACAACTGTAATGTCAAAGACTTAGGTTAAATTTGGCTATTTTTTAGCGATTCAGAAAAGTAGTTGAAAATGCCTTGTATTTTGGCAATATTCTTTTGTAACCTCTCCCATCTCCCCTCTGGAAATGATTGCAAAGCACTTAACTGTCATTTTAGGCTTTATTATTAATCCTCAAAACATTCCTATAAGGAGATAGAGGGTATATGGTATTGTCACTGTTTTTGTAGGTGGGAAAACATGATGCACAGATCTGTTGACTTTCCTAACTTGATGTAGTCAGACCAGAGCAAAGAATCTCCTGGCTCCTAAGGCCCATGTTCTATCTTGATTTGACTCTGCTTCATAGAGCAGAGGAAACAGGCGAAGAATCATGTAAGTCATCTGTTCTTTTTTCCCTGAAGAACTTGTATAGACTATGGAACTAGCTTAGATTTCATTACTATTTAATGGCTCTCAGTCTCCAAGACATTAAATTGTGATTAAATGATGTTCAAAAACCAAAGTCTTTAAGACAGTTGAATTTCTTAAATGTATGCTTATGAAACTCAAAGGCTGGCTTCTTATTCAGACTTTAATTGAATGCAAATTACTTGTCAGTATGCATAAAATACTTTTAATTAAACATTTCCTTTGACATACTCCTTGAGTAGTCTTGAAATTTCTTAGACATTTACGCATCACTTATAAATGATTGTAGACTATTTACTTATTGTGTGTGAATGTTTTGTCCTTAGTCTCAGGCTCTTACGAGAAAGGATAGAACAGAGGAAATAAGAATAGCAGTGTAATATATATTTAGTTAAAGTTTAAGCAGGTACTTTTTACCATATTAGCAGTGTGGATTAAATTTGTGAGAATTTAACAAATACAAGAAATAGATGTGATTTGAAATCGGTAGCTGTTTCAAATATGTACTAATAGTACTGATCTAATAGTCCATAAGTGTAGTGAAGAATTATTTTTCAAGAGGTAATACATTATGCATAGCTACCTTTGATAAAGGAGTGGTAAAGAAAAACAGGTATGTTAGAATCTCTTGTGCTGACATGATTAGCCCACCAGAAATAGCCTAAGGTTACCCACCTCTTTATTTTAATTTCTAGTAGCTGTTAACCTGTTTAAAATCTGGGGAGCACCTTTAGCTCAACCTTGGCTATTGTGCTATCTTTATTACATAGCGTTAAACCACCTCAGTGGATCAAGTCAACCTTCAGGTTTCTCTTATAGTCTTTAAGGGGCAATGTATGTTTACTTTGAAGGGTTCACAACATAGCATTGTTTCTTTGAGTTGTCATTGCTACTTAGTGGGAGGCAGATCCAAGGATATCGCCTGTTTTTGTTCCCATGTCATTGTCAACTCGCTATTACATTATAGATGATCTAAACTCAAATTAGGAAAAAGTAAAATGGTATGCTGTTATAAAGGAACACCCCTTAAATCCATTGCCCCTGACATTAATTTATAGTATTTTGTGACACTATTTTTAAGTAATAAATACCCAGATATTGAGGGTGTTTTTGTTGTTTCCAATAGATTAGTCAGTATCCACCAGAAAGGTTCAACTGTTTATACCTCACTTGCATTTCGAAAGTAGTATAGAATAGTATATTTTCATAGACAGAGCCAGCACATCAAGTTTTAGCCTGGTAAACTTCTGTGGTTCTAAAGTAAATTGTCATCCTAACTGGATCTTGTAATATTTTATGTAATATTCAAGATGATTGCATACTGTTATTGAATACTCTGATGAGGTGAGGTAGATAGGTACTATTAATATCCTCCTTGAACAGAGAAGTACAGTTAAAAAAACTAAGTCACTAACCCGAGATCGATCACCCAACTTCTCAGTGTTGGACTTAGGATTCAAACCCAGGATCTTCTTACCTCAAGTTTGCTCAAAACCACTCTGAGACAGTGTCAAGAGAATAACTATAGAGCATTTATGGAAATGATCTCTGGACAAATATGGCATTATAAATTGTTCTGATTGGTTTTCCTGTTTGTGTTGCAAGAGTAATCATGGCTGTCTTTAGTGTCTGAATTTTATTTGTATTTTAAGGTGGAAGTCTTCGTAATTTTTATTTAGAATTTTTCATAATTTATTCATTGAGATATTGCCTCAAGTTAATTTTAGTCACTTTTTTTTTTAACTGGAGACATTTTATGTAAGTTTAGTTCTTTATTTACCTTTATTGGACTAAGTAATAGATTTAACAAAGTTAAAGAACATTCAGAAATCTGCAACACTATTGGAAGTGGTATTTTAGATTCAAATATAGCATTAGCGAACCCTTCCAACATTTTAACTGTTAGCTTACTACAGTGTTAAAATTGGGATATTTACTTTATGGTTTTGGTAATGGAAAGTATATATATAATTTGTATTTCTCTAATCTTAGGCATATTAATATAAGATTTGTAACTTTTTGGTAGCACGTAAATATTTGTATCCAAAATTAAATTAATCTTAAGAGAGTGTTTAGGTGAAAAAAAGAAAGCTCAGGGTAACTTTTTGTGACTTGATTTGAAAAATACTGAAAATGTTAGGTTGTTCTGTGATTCTCATAATGATGATTACAACACTTCTAATACAAATATATTTTTTAGTTTCAGTACAAAACGGTTCCATTCATCAAAAAGATGCTGTAAATGATGATGATTTTGAGCCATACTTAAGTAGCCAGACAAATCAGGTAAGTCTGACAGTTCCATATTTAGGGAATTAAACTTATATTAGTATAAATTGATTTTTGAAATAGATATTTAGTTGAATGAGACTAACAATAACATGAATTAATCTAGTGTACCTGAATAGCAGTTGCACGTTTATGACACAGAAGAGTTCTTTAAAAATTATAGACAGCTGAAACTAGATTACGAAATATAAAGATTTGAACATGGAACATTACTAGTATATGTTGTAGTGTGTTTTTTTGAAATGTTGAAAGAATTTAATCTTTTAATGTCACTGTCATATCTTTGTAGCCAAAGCAAATTACAAGGTTTAATTAGCTAGAAATTTGTGGGAGAGGACTACTTTGTGCCTGAAATTTTTGGTTTAATGTAGTATTTTCTTCTTCATAAGACATTCCTATTTGAATTTTACTGATAGTTAAAGTTTTAACTTAACCTGGTAATGGAGGAAATAGATAAATAAGTAATTAAGACTATAAACAGTTGCTTCTATATTATAGGCATGGAAAATTTCAACAAATCAAATAATTGTTAGCTTTTGAGATTCTTGTGTGTTTGCATTATTCACAAATGTGAATTTATATATAGGAATCATTTAGATGTAAACATTAAAAATCTGGTATTTGGTCTCTATACCATTTCTGTCTGCACCCATTTGTTATTAAAAATACTGCTACTAGAAATAAATTTTAAAAATAAACTTTAATTACTAATCATTTTCTTTAGGGAGAACATTCTGGAATGAAGTTGCTTTTGTTTTGCTTAAAAAGAAAGATGTATGAAAAAAATGTATCTTGAAATCTTGACCTCTAGTTTTTTAAAACTATGAAAGAACAAGGAACCAAATGTTTATTACACAACTGTATAGTTTGAAAGCAAATTTGAACAAAAAGTAGTTCCCATTTTGTGGATGTAGAATTATTTTTAGGACTGTGGAGAGCCATGGTTATGTTTAATCTCTTAGTAATTTCTTTAACCACTCTCTTCTGTCTGTTGATCTGCAGTCCTAGCATATGTTGGGAGAGAGTAAATAAATGAGAAAGAAGAAAAATGGGTGATAAAAATCAATGAAAGTTTGGCTATTCTTAAGAATGAAAAATTTCATTTCATATTTATGTAATTTATTTTATAATCTCAATAAATTTTACTTTGCACCTAAATGTTGTGAAAGAATATATAATTGGAAAATAGGGGAAGATCATTTGTTGTACAATTGTAGTGCAAGTTTTAAAAGAAACATATGATATTCTATTTGGGGCCGTACATTGACCTCAATTAATATCCCTTATGGCAGTGTTTTCCAACCTTTTCGAGAAATTCTGATAATGAGGTATAGTAGATATTATCCCCACAATGTTTTTACGATCAGATAAGTTTGAGAAGTTTATTTGGTCTAAATAATTGAATTGTGGGTTTTTTGCTACTTGATTTTATACTTGATTAAAATATAAAATGAATTTCTAATGTAAGGATATATTATGCAGATCCACTGTCTTCATTGTTCAGAGTCTAGTCTGTTTTCAAGAAATTTTAATGGATTTTAAATGTTTGAAAATTGCTACCATAAGAATCCTCGCTTTACTTGGTAACAGATATTTTATAATTCATTTGTCACAGGGGCTTAGAAGATTGGTTATTTGGCATTCCACAGAGGTGCTTCAGGTCTGCCTAGGGGAGATTGGGGGAGGGTACCCTTGATCCCACCTTTGTGGCACCCAGAGCTCTGCTTTGCTTTTTATCTGTTCTTTTATATTGGAATTTTTCATAAAATTTCACTTGTAAAAAAATTTTAAAGTGTTGGAAAATTAATTTTTAAGACTATAAATGCATTTACTTTAATCCAATTTTTAAATTGTATCATAAAAGCTTCCTTGTTAATATTGGCAAAACATCTATAAAAGTATTGTTTTTTAATGTGATGTTTACATGGAAGGTCTTATGCTTTATATTAATTAGATCATTTTAATTCATGTTATTTGAATCAATATAGTCATGTGCTATTTCAAGAGAGGTTTTAAAGTTTAATATCAGAAGGCTGTATTTTACTTCCCTCTTGCCAATATTAGTGAATAGGTTTTCAGCAGTTATCTTTCTGTAATACTAAATAATTATGTGTAGTCAAGGTATATATTTACTTCTTTTCTTTTAATATGTTTTATTGATTTTAGAGGGAGGGAGAGAGGGAGATAAAAATATCAATGTGAGCGAAGCATCAATCAGCTGCCTCCTGCTTGCTCCCTACTGGGGATTGAGCCACAAACCTGGGCATGTGCCCTGACCAGGAATCAAACCAGTGACATTTTGATACATGGGATGACGCTTAACCAATAGAACCACACTGTCTAAGGCCATATTTACCTTTTAAAGAGCACTATAATTATTGAATATTGAATACTTGGTCTACTGAAGAGAAACATGGAAAATTATCTGAAATATGAAAGTAAGTTGTAAGAATTTAACTTATAATTACTTAATTGAAATTTTAAAAACTTACAAAAATTGACCTTTTAGAACAGATGAGTGAATACTGGATTTATTGGTGAAATATATCAAGTAATTATTTGCAGATTTAAAGTTCTGCAAGTATTTGTAGGTCCTTGTACTGACCTACCTGAAGTAATTATTTAATTTTTAAATTTTCAATTATAAATATGCAATATGACTTTAAAATTAAATCCCATCATTTGATTTTAATATTATAAATAAGAAAAATGAATCATTTGTCTGGAAAGGTGTTTAATATTTTTGGTTATTTTAAATTGTTTTATATACTTAGATCTAATTCACATCAAACACAGGAATACATTACACCAGTCTATTGGTCTTCTGTGGCAGCATATTTCTTCTATTTTCTAGTGTTCATTTTATTTGGGAATAATTTTTATATTAATTTACAAGTAAATGTGTGTCCTTCTGGTTTTAAAATTTGTTCTCTGTTATATGGATATATATTAGGCTTAGCCAGATTGGAGGTTTCTGTTTGGCAAGGAAGGTAGGGTTTTTCAAAATGCAGGCTTTAACCAGTAGATTGGGAGACAAGACCAACTGAAGCTTTATGAAATGTGTATTTTTGTTGCTTCTATTTTGTGCTTATTGTCTTATTTTTTAATGATTTAAAAAAAATTCTTATGCTTCAAAGTTTATTTTGCTTAATTATAAAGTGGATGTGCATGTAACATTTATGTAAAATATTTGCTGTGTAGAGGTTTTTTTTGGTTTTGTTTATTCTCTTTAAAGATTGCTATATATAAGTAAAAACGAAGATCAGCCAAAAAATAGTTCTCTGTAATTCCTCAGAATAATTGGACAATTATGTTGGTCAGAAAATTCATGTTTAATTGGTACTATTAAACGTACCATATAAATTGGAAGAGTAAGTTGGAAAAATGAAGTTTGAATTTGTCTGTTTGTATATATGGGGAAATAAATTCCTAGTCATGTTTACCAGGAAAGAGATAGAGAGAACTAAGAGAATAATATAATTATCTTTGCCTGTTTGAATGATTTCCTAACTGTTAATTCTGTATTGCCACTCAGGAGTCTTAAAGTTGAAGTTTGTGCTATTGACATATTAAAGAATTTACCTCAACTTCACAACACATCCCTCCTGCCTCATCTTTGGTCAGCTTTCTCCATCTCACTTACTCAAGGAAATAGGGCTTATTCTTATTTTCTGAAAATGTAAATATTTTCTTTGATAATCTCAATGTGTACAATTTGCATACACCCACACACAGAATCCTGTGTCTATTGCTTCTGAAGTCTTTTCTGATTCCCCCAATTACTTGCACCCTTCCTTCTCTTTGTGCTAGAGTGTTTGTTTTCTTTTGTTTGTACTTCCATTATAGTACTTATCAAATTGTAGGGTAAATATGTCTTCCCCCTAGACCTGTGGAGTCCTTTAGGTCAGAAACCATGTTTTTCATCTTGTCTCCAGTGACTGGCACTTTAATCAGTTACATAGTAGGCATTTATTAAATACTTACTGAATGTGAATTAGGTTGTCTTCTAGAATTAAGGAATGAAATAGTATGGTTGAAATGTCAAGTTAATATGACAGAGTACATTTTCTTATGACATTTTTATTATTAATCTGCATAAATTATACTTTTTCAAAAGTACAATAATATTTTTTAAATATTTGAAGAAAATACAGGTAAACATTAAAAGTAGACTAACCTTCACTTTATTAATTCAGAAGTGAGTCCAGAGATTGAAGTGCCTCAGGTTCTTAAGGGAAAGCAATTTTGTTTATCTCTGCTTACGTGCTGACATTGGTGGATAATGCCTCAAGTCTTTTTTATTGAACTTCTGAAACATTGTACAGTGTTCTCCCTTGGAAATTTGGGTGTTTATGAAGCAAAAGTGAATATTAATTTACCTTAACTAAAACAAAACACACACACACAAAATAAAAGACTTAGTTATAATTGAGCTGTATTAAATGTCTTTAGGTTAGAACAGTGATTATAAACTTTTTCTTACTGGTCAGGTTTTCTTTGAGATAATAGAAAAAAACTGGCTTGCGGACTAAAGGATAATAATTATAAATGATTTCAAAATTCTAATGAAGAATTTTTAATCTTCCATATTTTAGTTTTCAAATTAAAAAATCTAAAGGTAAAAGCTTAACCTATATTTTAATATAGCAGTTTGCAATTAAAGATTTAGAAAAATCTTTACAGTTGATTAGAGTAGCAGGTATCATCCCCATTTTACCAATGAAGTAACAAGGTTAGAGAAATTAATGATCAGTGAGATCACTGACACAGAAAGTGGAAGAGTACAGAATTGAGCCCAATCCTTGCCTACTACATCACATCTTGACTTTATATCTTCTTTTGTTTTTTGTTTCTGTTTTTGACTTTTTAAAATTCTCACCCAGGTATATGTTTTTATTAATTTGAGAGAGAGAAACATCAGAGTGAGAGAGAAACATCAATCAGTTGTGTTTCCCAAGCACACCCAACCAGGGATTGAAACCGCAACCCTGGATGTATGCCTTGACTGGGAATCTAACCCCCAACCTTTTGCTGTAATTGACCATGCTCCAACCAAGTTAGCCACCCGGCCAGGGCCAGGACTTTATACTCTTAAGATCTGGACTAGCTTTGAAACTATACAAATGAGCTTGATGGTTAAGTTACATTTTAAAGAGGCAGGTTGAGTTGTATTAATAAATGTAACTGTTGACTACTTACTGTGTTGTAGGCACTGTATCTTTATTTCCTTTGAATAGCGGAGACAAAAATTCAGAGGTGTATTTTGGCTACTTTCACTTAGCTGATAAATGCCTAGGCTGGGATTAGAATTTGGTTGCCTTATGGGTTCACTTCAACCTTATATTAAGCTAGAGGCCTGGTGCACTTATTCGTACACCGGTGGGTTCCCTTGGTGTGTACTGCTAGGATCAGGCCTCGACAGATAGCTGGGGAAGAGCCCGAGCCTGGGCCAGGTGCCGTGCCACCGCTCAGTTAGCTCGCCATCCATGAGCCTGGTATCTGGCTCCCATTGGTCAGCTGAGTGGCGCTGCTGCTGTGGGAGCACACTGGCCACCAGGGGACAGCTCCTGCGTTGAGTGTCTGTGCCCTGGTGGTCAGTGAGCATCA